TTCAGGAGCATCTGTTACCACTTCAGGAGCTTCTGTTACCACTTCAGGAACTTCTGTTACAACTTCGGGAGCATCAGTCACCACTTCAGGGGCATCTGTTACCACTTCAGAAGCTTCTGTTACCACTTCGGGAGCATCTGTTACCACTTCAGGGGCTTTTGTTGTCACTTCGAGAGCATCTGTCACCACTTCAGGAGCATCTATTACCACTTCAGGAGCATCTGTTACCACTTCAGGAGCTTTTGTTGTCTTCTCAGGAGCTTTTGTTGTCTTCTCAGGAGCTTCTGTTACCACTTCAGGAGCTTGTGTTACCACTTGAGGAGCTTCTGTTACAACTTCAGAAGCTCCTGTTCCCACTTCAGGAGCTTTTGTAGGCTTTGCAGTAGCATCCGTTACCACTTCAGGAGCTTTCGTTACCACTTCAGGAGCATCTGTTACCACTTCAGGAGCTTGTGTTACCACTTGAGAAGCTTCTGTTACAACTTCAGGAGCTCCTGTTCCCACTTCAGGAGCTTTTGTAGGCTTTGCAGTAGCATCCGCTACCACTTCAGGAGCTTTCGTTACCACTTCAGGAGCGTCTGTTACCACTTCGGGAGCTTCTGTTACCACTTTGGGAGCATCTATTACCACTTCGGGAGCATCTGGCACCACTTCAGGAGCTTCTGTGGTCACTTTGGGAGCATCTGTTACCACTTCAGGAGCTTCTGTTACCACTTCATGAGCATCTGTTACCACTTCAGGGGCTTTTGTTGTCACTTCGAGAGCATCTGTCACCACTTCAGGAGCATCTGTTACCACTTCAGGAGCTTCTGTTACCACTTCAGGAGCTTTTGTTGTCTTCTCAGGAGCTTCCTTTACCACTTCAGGAGCTTGTGTTACCACTTGAGGAGCTCCTGTTCCCACTTCAGGAGCTTTTGTAGGCTTTGCAGTAGCATCCGTTACCACTTCAGGAGCTTTCGTTACCACTTCAGGAGCATCTGTTACCACTTCGGGAGCTTCTGTTACCACTTCGGGAGCTTCTGTTACCACTTCGGGAGCATCTATTACCACTTCGGGAGCTTCTGTTACCACTTTGGGAGCATCTATTACCACTTCGGGAGCATCTGTCACCACTTCGGGAGCATCTGTTACCACTTCAGGAGCTTCTGTTTTCACTTCGGGAGCATCTGCTACCTCTTGAGGAGCTTCTGTTACAACTTCGGGAGCACCTGTTACCACTTCAGGAGCTTCTGTTACCACTTCGGGGGCATCTGTTACCACTTCAGGAGCTTCTGTTACTACTTCGGGGGCATCTGTTACCACTTCAGGAGCTTCGAAATTAAAATAGAACGTATAAAAATTGACTGATGCAGAATTATTTTATACGGTACTATATTTCATTTGACGGCATTGAGTGAGTTCTCTATTTACCTGAAGGTACATAATAGATGAGAGCCATTGATTTGATACTGTTGGATACAACAAGCGAGTTCTTGCCGTCTATTTTGATTGTATCTCTTGTTACACCGTCATATGCGGTAATGAATATTGTTTCACTTGCGGAAGATGTTGACTTTATTTGATATCTTCCTCCAACAGGGATTACATGTGGTTTATATTTTGCATCAGAAAGGGTGGTTATTACTTCGACATGTTTTCCATATCGATTCACAATTGTGACATCCAAATGGTAAGTGACTAAAATGGTAACAGTTAGCTCAGTTATTAAGATTTACATTAATAGTGATATTTAAAGACCTCACAGTCAGACATCGCACTTCTGCGTAGCCAAACGCATCGATATGTTATGAAACACTTTATCTGTTGTAATGTGTTCTAGGCACTGGAGAAGAGCGACGTTTGACCTCAGCTAAGAGAAAATCTCCTATATTCAATTTTCAAAAACAGGACAAAAAGAATACGTGAGGACTAGACGTTTGCCTAAATATAGCGAAGGAAAGAAAAAGTATTCTCTGCGACGTACAGAACAAGCGAAATCGGCATATATGAGCTCTACCCTACCCTTTAGGGGCTTCTGCTGTCACATCTGAAAACATATTCAAAACTAAGTATCGAAATTTAAAAATATCATAACGCTTCGAAAAAGAGATGAAAGCACATGATTAAAAACCATCAAATATCCAGCGGACAAAAATACTTACTCGGAGTTGAAGCTGACTCATCCACACCTAGCACACCTGTAGGCGCCTCAGTCTCTATGAAGATCCCAAAATATTACAAATTACATTTTGTAAAGAAGGCACATCACAAAATTATGAGAAAGTATTGTAATAAGAGCGTAAGGCCTTTTCAAGTAGAGTTTGTGTTTGAAAACAATTTTCATTTCACAAAATGAAAAATTTAATGTTTTCTAAAGAATATATCCATTTTAACAGTTGCGCTGACATGGGAAGAAACACTGGACAACACAGGGATACTCCTTTTACCGCCTACGACCTGTCAGGAAAGAGATACCTTCATGCATGGATGTGCAGTTCATCAGCCGTTTGGTTCAAATACCTTGCGGAACAGCGACTACACTTATGTTTTAAATCTTTAGGAATCTTTAAACCCCTTTTGTATCGAGTGTTTTATATACCTTTTTTAATAGCGTTTTTATGCCTTTTCCTTTTCGCTATTGTTACCGAGAAATCATACTTTTGAGAAGGCTTCAATGATATTATCTGACTGGAGAACTATCAAAAATTCACTAAGAACTATCCAAAATTCACTTTACTATTAGAATGTCAATATACGTACAGCGATCTTTGATTTGTAAGTAGAAATACACAAGAATACACAAGACACCAAAATATATTATATAAGCTATGCATGCTCGTATACAAAAAATATAATAATATAGCACTCGTACAAAACTTTTCAATCTTATAGTGTTCGCCATTCGATGATAATTTTGATTGTTACTCTTCTCACTGAAACATGAATACTTTTATACCCTGTCTATACTATAAATAATTTAAGCTAAGCAAAATTGGAAAAACAAAAATGAAATAAGGAAGTTTTAGGGCCATATGTTCATAATTTTTAAGAAAGAAAAAACGTTTCGAAATTTCCCTTTGCTGTTCTGAAAAAAATCTTTACTTTTAAACCCGTAGCAGTCCGCATCAATCATTTACTCCGAAGACTTATTTCATAAACCAATGACACTGATTATCATTTTTGTAAAGCAAAATCGCGAAATATCCATGCATCATAAACAAAAAAATACCACACTGAATGGTAGAGCGAGCTTGGAAAATAACTCTAATCGGGATAATCACTGACAGCCTCCCTATTCTTTGAGACGTCATTTTCTGGAACACCAACAATTCTGATCTATATTAACTCGAACTGAAAGAGTTGTTGAATATTAGACCATGCAATGATTCTCTTTGAGGTTTTGACGCAAATAATGTGGTTAAAACCAAATTAACTAACGACTTTCAACGATATAGAATAGTTTTTGTAGACTGCATGGAAGTTAATGCACCTCTGTGGCGACATTTCGACTTTGGCATTGCTCACTATAGCTAATACTTTATTCCACTTCCTGGTTAATATCTGTGGGATATCGGTTAATTAGTCTGCTAAGTTTTTATTTACCGACACCTTGATTTCACATCCATATTATTATTTATGTAATGCCATGAAGGCTTTGCCTTGTACCTACTTGATGTTTCTCCATTGGAACTTGAAGGAACATGAAACATTACCATAACCCAAACTATGTATGTATATTGAAAGTCTCTTCTCCTCATCTCCGCAATAATTCTCCTCTCTCGTTACAAATTAGCAAAGCCTTTTTAAATATTGTTATGACTATATAGCTATATTAAAGGCTTTTACTTTTAATTCGATTCTTACCAATATAGTTAAATATTAACGTCTTCACTCCAGGGGTGCTGGATGTGAACTGAACTGGTTTCGTCTAGGCGCTAATGCGCATGCACGGGTCGTAAGGTTTCGAAAGTTTGCTAAATATCTTTAATATTGTAGGAAATGTCATACGCAACTTGGCATATTAAAATAATAATATTTCGACATATACATATTAGGTAATAATAATACTTTATCTATAAACGTTCATTTTCCGATGATAATTGCTATATATAGGTGCACTCGTGCATGTCACCGTGCTGCCGTGAAATATATAACTGCTACCGACAACACGTGCGGGATATACTGATTCACATGTTCACATGACTAATCTCATTCTTCATGGCAACACATAATATTAGAAAATATTCACTTTATGAGTTACTACGATATTTTGTTATTGAATAAAAGCGAACATGCACGAATATTAGGTTTGCAGTTTTGTGATACACCCTGTATTGTGGTTAATAACAATATGAATATTGAGTGTTGCCTTTTTTATACAACCTGTACAGAAGCTATTTCGCTAAATTTGCTGCATGCGAACTTAATGCAGATTTCAGACTTTCAAGTTTAAATAAATGTTTTTCCTCATTCAAATGCGATATTTTTATAATTTGCAGTGTTATTTTGTGAAAATACGACACAACCTTTTCTTCTTCCTGTACGTAGCTGCGCCAAATGTATAAAAATTAAATACATTCAGGCCTGGTTGACATATACAGTATACTTATTCTATTTTTAGACATGCATGCCTTGTAGTTGACAATTGTAGTCTTGGCAATTAGATGAAAACTGCCGCAGCGCAAGCTCTGTTCGAAACGACGACGATTTTGTTTACGTCTCGACGCGTTTTAGAGTTCGAAGAAACACATTCAGTAATATATTTTACAGGCAACAATTTAATAGTCTTGACCAAGTAACAATCTTATTTGAGGATCATTAAAGTTGTCGATTATAGTTGTCATAAAATAACGATAACGCTTTGTCGAGGCAAACGATGCACAAACCGAGATGTTCGAACAGCTGGATGGGTTTCGAAAACTTGTTCGAAACTTTTATTACAAGTTTTCTCGACGAATACACATAAGCAACCACGCAAAAAACAAGATTGTGAAAACCTTTACCTGTCCCAAATCGGAACTAGTTACAGCGTCATCCCTAACCACTAATTAACCAAAATTTAAATTTGAAATTAGGTCGTGTAATTTATTCTAACTTTCCCTGAATCCACCACTGATTATTGTAACTAGCTATTCCGAATTTGCAAGTAGACGAAGGCATGGTGACAGTTTTACGTTAGTTTGAGAATGCACGCATGTGTTATTTAGTCCTCATTACAGCCCCATAATGTACTGTCAATTTAGCTTTGACCAGACCTCTGTTGCAGCTTTGGACTACCCCATAAATGGATTTTTTTTAAACAGAAGAAGGTTTATACCTGGCCAGAAATAGCTACATGGCGTAAAACTTTACAGGTTTTGCATTTACTGTGCATGTTGTCCCCAATACAACTCAGTATTACACTGTGATGAACGAATTTATCTCGTTTGGACAGGTAACGATTATTCATCTAGATAAAAAAAGGAATCTTGAGCCTTTATCTGTTTAGAAATTTGGATAATATAACGAGTCTAAAATTTTTAGTCTTTCACCATCGATGTTTACCCAGTTATAATATTGTTCGACGTATTTCTAATAAAAAATTGTGATATTACATTATATATATTCTAATAAAAGTGATGATATGATATAAACCTCGTAAAATGTACGACAAAACATTCACCACTTCAAGTAACTCTATTGTGGTTCAATCAAAATTCAGTTTCTTTTACAGTCATTACGTTATCGTGATTATAAGCTTCTTTTTCATCTTGCTGATTGACCATATCATCACCTTGCTCTGTGGTTATTTCCGGGCTTGTAGAAATTGCTTCATTCCAAATTTTATTTATTTCTTCGCTTTGTACCTCGTTTATCTCTTCATCTTGCTCTTTGGTTATTTCCTCATCAAGCTTAATTTCGCTTATTCCTTCATCTTGCTCAATCGTTGTTTTTTCTTCATCTTGGTTAAGGGTTATTTCTTTCTCTTGATTTGGGGTTACCTCTTCATCTTGCTTGGCAGTCATTTCTTCACTTTGCTTTGTGGATATCTCTTCATCTTGTTTTTCGTTCACTTCTTCATCTTGTTTTTCGGTTATTTCTCCATCTTGTTTTGTGGCTGTATCTCCGGCTTCCTCTCCCTTGTTCTCGATCGTCTCGCCATCTCCATCATCAGGCAGCAAATCAACAGGTTCCTCGATGCCTTTGCTATCATTTGCCTTCCTGGCAATGGAGAGTTTCAATGTTCGGTTTCGATAAAAATAGTATGTAATGACCATCAGCAGAATTGCTACGAACATTGTCAGTGCTATGATGATTCCAACATAAATAATATAACGCTTGTTTTCCCCTTTCACACCTGAAGGTAAGAGCCGAAGTTATTTTGGTGGTTTTGTGTGAATACCCTAATGTTGTTTAAAAATGTTCCTTCATTTCAAAGAGGCATTTACTTTGATTGAATGACCTGGGATATGAAATTTTATTTTATAAAATATAAAAACAAACCTTTTTTGGCAAATGTGTCTTTGCTTGTCTGAGATGATGTGGGTGCAGTTACTGCAGTACCTGAAATATTTTAAAAGATTTAAAGTATTGGGTTAAATTGGGAGCTGTTTGATCTCCCACTTAGCCGAGATTGAACGAAGCGTGATATGACTTTGAGGTATGGCATCAAACAAGCACCTTTTATTCTCGGAGTGATTGCGCGACTGCCAGGACCGTGTTATATATATTTCACTACCTCAAAATCGTCTCGCGTTTCGTTGAGTCTCAGCTAACTCGAATCATGTAAACAGCCCATAGTAAGTGCATAACTTTAAATTGGTGCGATTTTTTTAAATTACATGATATATATCTTGTTTTCGGAAAAAATGTTTTCACTACTTCACCATTTAAAAAAGGTTTAACTAATTATTCCCATCCAAGCATTCGTCAAGACAGGGATGGCAAACAATATAAAGCATTTTACAACTGTTGAACTGTCAAATTGCGTCTAACATCCAGTGTTTTGACATTTCGCTCGGGAACTTCATTGGGGTAGATCAGTATATATAGTCATATTCTGTAGTCTTACTATAGTCTTACAAATCCTCGTACAGAGCTAAATGAAAAAAATATTGTTCTACGAAAATGGTACGTTCTACACCATGCGCACCTGACGATGTTTAACTATATAATCACGCTGTAACTCAACTCAAATTATTTGCTTTTGGGGGAATATTATGAATATATGGCGTGATACGAATGTCACACAAGATGAGACACAAATTTTATCGTCTTAAAGGGCGATTTTATCACCCTAAAAAGAACAGCACTCCAAAAAATGGCGAGTTGTAGTGATAAATTGGTTTTATCATTGTGACAATAAATATCTCTCTTGAAGGTTTAAGTAAAAAAATACATATCATCCTTTTCTTACTCGTGTGTTGGTGTTTTTTCAAGTTTTTTTTAAAGATAGGTTTGAAAACATGCACAGTACTAATAAAACAGCAAATATCGGAAGATAAGCAACTATGAGGGAACATCATATCATATTCCTATTTTAATATCGTAATTTTCAAAGTTTATAAATGGTGTACCTTCAGTGGTCATTTCAAAATTTGAAGTTTTTCGTATCATGATTGTAGCACTTGAAGCTTTTGTTGGGGCAGCAACAATTGTGGTGGTAGATGAAGTGTTTTTTCTCGCCGCATCAATAGTTTTCAACGTCGACGTTTGAACAGTCACGCTCGAAACAATTGGAGTGGTTAATTTTGTAATGGTCGTACTCGATGAAACAAATGTAGAGGGCTTGTCTGACTTAGTTTTGCCTCCTGTAACACTGACACTTGATTGAACTGTAAACAACAATAATTAATAAAATTAGCTAAGTGACTTTAGCAAACAATAACTATTACCGGCAGACAATTTATTAAAAAATTAAAAAAATATTCTGAAGAATAAAATCGAGATATCTAAGAATAACTCTTTTTGTCCCTAATTTTGTCTCTTGGTAAGCTTGTCCCCTTCAGTTGAAAAACACAGCTAACTTAGTTCGTCGCTATTCATCCTAACTTGCACTACCTCTTAATGTTATGGATGACATGCAATGCCGTAAAAACATAATGATAAACTGCTATCTTTACAATATCATTCAGGTAGTATAGTGTTCCGTTATGACGTCATCTCTTCCTGTCCCTTTGTTTATAGTATTGTAATTCTGGTATAGTAACTAATTTATTTTTATTATAGTAGCTAATTTATTTTTATCACAATTCACAGTGTGCGGTTAAATATACATATAATTAATATACAATCTTCCTGCATTGGCCTAAATCTACTCACACGATTGGTCAAAATCAATCACGTGATTTCTTGTTGCCTGGCGACAGTTCATGGGAATCATAATTTATTCGCAATAACCCATGAAAATCGTGGTTTATTCGCAATAACCCATGAACGCACTTGCTGACCATACAATGAACTCAAAATTTCTCGTTCATTGTATGGTCAGCGCGTGCGTTTATTTGTGAAAAAAACACACACAACAATCTCTAACCCTTAAATAAACATAAATCCAGTTTTTTAACCCGATAAGAAGGTACAGTTTCCAGCGGCCAATCCCTCTCCGAAACATTATGATATATACGTGTAATTCGTTTCAATTTTGTAAGACAACTAACTATATACATTCAGTATTTTACTTTCTTATCTTATTTCTTAATTTTTAAACTTTTAAACTGTTGGTTAACATTAACGACCTTTAGGAGCCGAACATAGAGATTTTTCACAACCTTCATGGAATCAAAGCATTTACAGAATAAAGAAGTTTACAGGCCAATTTTCTGCTGAGTTTTGGTTTCGACCTAATTGGTGATTTTTTTGCATACATTCAACGAGTACGTATATTCTTTGTTCGAGATGACAGAAATGCAAATCCCTTATGAAAAAGTACATGCACGTGGAAATCACATTTTTGAGCTGTGTAAATTTCCAGTTATTAAAATTCGTTTGGCTAGCTACCCTTCTGTATGTAATAAAGTGATTCAAATATGTCTGATAAACATATAAAAATGGAAAAAGGTCTAAGTCTGAGGTCTAAGTTTAAAGAATTGCAGCTAAGTCATATGATCGCAAACCAATTTCCGCTTTGCTCTCTAGAAATAATCCTGCTATTACCTACATTTGCTACATCTCTTAGTTTTTATCGTGACTGGGTTTTTTTCGCACTATTATATGGATTATGCTGCATGCCAGCACAACACCAGGTTTTTCGTTTTTCCTTTTGCGACTACTGTTCTTAGCAAAATTGACACTATTTTTCTGAATTATTTCTATTCATTCTGATAACACCTAAAACTGATATTTAATGTCAACTGTGGCGGTGCTAGCGGGGGGGGGGGGGAAGAAGGGATATGGTCTAAGAAACATTTGTCCCACCCACATTTTTGTTGTCTTGCCGCCAGTTTGTTCCTCCCGAAAAATCTCCCCCCCCCCCCAACAAAACACTTCTTTAATCCATATCACGACTTCTCTCTCCGGTCATATAATAGCTTGGTCATATCTAGCTACATAAAGGACGGCGGGCTTAGAGCAAAATAAGTATTGAAGAACTGTCCCAGTAATAAATAGAGGAGGGGCTAATTTCATAGATTTACGCTCAGCATTATTTGTTTCTTTCGAAATAGATTGTTTTTACGATTTTAAATATGAATATATATAGATATTTGCCCCCCTCTTAATCCGGAGTGCTAATGATCTATTTTATCATTCAATATTGGTATTCCCGCAACCGGATCTGTTGGAAGTTTGGTTATGTATGAAGAACTGTTCTAGTATATCAAATCAATGATTGAAGAGATGACCAAATCGGCGAGAAAGAGGAATTGTATGAACGGCGAAATACGCTGAATGTTTAATCGGCTTCGAAATTAATACCATCAATCAAATTTCGTTGTTTACTAAGTGAAGTCGTTTTTACCGTAAAGTGTTATATGCATGCCAGTTGAACTCAGTTTGGAAATATTCAAAATTAATGCCATAGAACCAATACAAAGTGTTTGAGATTGTATGTAGTTCAAAAATATAAAACCAGGGCTGTTCAAAATGATAAATTATCTTTGAACTGATATATCACGAAATCAAAGCTAATTCCACAAAAAAAATTATCAAATGTACATAGCATATATAGAACCCACCTCTCCAATGTATACACGCGAGTAATCTATACCTATACGTCCACTCCAGTATGCGTATATAGCATGCGCTCTTCTTTGTTATCCCGAAGGGGTGTTTTTATACGTTTCCCATAGTATAATGCAATCATTATTGGAACTAACAGATTTCTAATTTAAATCTGTGCTTTTAGGTAAAAAAGATTCTTTCTTGAAATTATCTCGCGAGATTGCCTCGCAATTAACTTGCGTGGTTATAAAACCTACCCTAAAATCGACCCTAGTATATCGACTTCGAAGTATTTTTCAGATGTATTTATGATTATCCGTGTTTAACAACGACTTTTTGGGCATTTTGTGGACATTTCTACTAGATTAATATACGCATTGCCCTATTTCGAAAGCGTACATGCAATGCGTTTGGCACACTATGTGTACCAGACTCAGACCACAGAATAGGCTGAAAACAATAGGCCACATGCCGATAGCAATTTCTTACTATCGAAACTCCGTTAAGGTTTTGGTTAACAAAGCTCCAGGGGCAAGGCTGTTTCAAACAAATCTACACCAGCTTGCGTCGAAATAACAATAATGGGAACGAAAACTTGTGTACAAGCTATCTATTTCCTGTCGCTATATACTTTATAAAAATATGGTAGCCTATAATATATTTACATTCAAATATACATTTAACCTGTTATACCTGTACTTCCTTTTCTAAAAGCTGGCAAAGTGAGGATTGTCAATATTATCCAGCACAGATATCCCTTCCTCATGCTGCGAATTTGTTTTGTTGGTGTAGCTATTCTTCGATAATCACTATCGGTTTCCCGAACAATAATTCGTTGTCTTGGAATTCTGCTGAATGAAATTCTCGTAAAATCTTGGGTTAACCGCCAAGTCTTTACTCCATTCCCGCTGAACGTTAAATAAGCATTGTTCTCTGCGCACACTTATATTCTCACATGTCAAATCACAAGAAAAATATTGCACATTCGACGACTAAATGATTTCAATATTACAGGAAATGTCAAACTCGCCATTTTAGGTAATATTGCAATATTCTTAAATTCAGTAACATCGCACACTGTTCTTATCATGGAATGCCGAACTTAACGCCATTAATATGATACTGAAACGTTTCCATAATCAACTAGCGGCGATAAAATACGCTGTAATTTGTAGTGTTTGCCGGACTAAAGAGAATTGATATTAGCCAGGCGGAAAGTGGTATTTCTTTTCAAGGTGGATTTGCATATAGATGTGACAAGTAGGCACGTGTGGGCATGTTCATATGCATAATATAGATATCATCTTAAAACAACACACTCCTCCTTAGAGGATTTTGCGAAAGCATTAACATCAGACACCAAAGCATCTGCGTGCAGAGGAAAGTGTCATATATAACTGCTATGTAAAAGTCGATCGTATATACAGTTTATTAGGATACATTATTTTACCGCTGAATTTCCATGTGCAGAGTATTTTTTTTATCTCTTGTCTTTCCGTTCCTGTGAAAAATTATTCAATTGAGCCTGGACGCATTAATGAAGTGCATATAAGGCAAAATCGCTTCCGCGAAATCTGCATCGCGAAAGATGCCTAACAGTACAGTCCAACAGTATGGTTTAATAGCATCTTAATATTTCCCGGAATTGTTTGGAAGGTGTAGAATTCTCCAACTTAGGGCCTTTCCTTTATACGGTAAAAACGGTCAGACCGGTCCTGTTGTATTTCAGTATAAACAGATTACTGGTATTTTAGAATGTTTTAAAAACTCTGAAGTATGTCGTTATTTACATCTGCCCAGCACCGGAAATGCAGTTTCACCGCTATATTCTTAACGAAATACTCTGTTTTTATTTAAAATAACTATAACCCGTCTGACCATTTTGGCCGCCTAAAGGAAAGCACCCTAATATTGTGTACTTTCTCCCTAATTGAGATGAAATTCACTTGACTCGCGGCAAACCAATAATGGCAAACTTCACATCAAAGTTCGGATATAAAGCTGGTTGTAAATCGAATCAATAACTTAGGCCAAAAAACCCAATTACTTAGCCTTCAAGAACCTTCTCGGAGATATTTAGGGAGTAATTTAAGCCTCGCATTTGTCTGCAAAAAACGTGCAGAAGAAGAATATGTTTCACAAAAGGCAATAAATGGAACGCTCTTGTACTTTAAAAACTGTAGTGATCATTTTGGGATTAGTAGGAGAGTAATAAGTGAAAAAGTTGGCAAGCGAAATGGAGATTGTCCGTCCGCCCCCGTCTGTTATTATAATTCGAATTAAAATAACTATCTTATATTGCAACATAATAAAGAAAGTAAAAACTGAAGAACACATGATAGATAAATGAAACAAATGAAACCAATATAACAATTTTGTTTCGAATGTTGGCGTTGGATAGAATACTAAACTAATATAGAAATAGAATAATAAAAAGTCATTGGAAGAATGAATTCTGAATTATTTTGAGGAAAACGGCAAAAAATTGTATTATGTGTAAATATACATGCATGAAGCACATAAATTTATCCCATAGCTATAGTCTGGAAAATGTTTGCACTACAGTTGCTGTGTTGTGACCGAATGCTAGAAATACCTGCATTGATAATAATAAAGATTGCTGTGAGCATGACATCTTCGGTCTACCAACTCGATCAAATAGGAATCGACGAAACTTGGTTATTCGTTTGTATACACTGGCGTCGCCAGCATCGATAAGAGGGGTGGACATATTCATATATTCATGTTCACAGACCGTTAAAACAATAATGTAAAACACGCGAATATATGAATATGTCCCCCAACTTATCAAGCTGGCGACGCCTCTGTTTGTGTACCTAAAGCTTGTATGTACATAAAACAGAATTGCAGAGTAACAACTAGCTCTATAGTGCATGGACGATTCTTACGAGGAATGGTAATTGAGATGAAGCGCAAGAGCTGCATAAATTAAGATAATTATATGCAAGTATATACGAAAGTGAAACTGTAGTTACAATGAAAACCAGTTCGTCTTATACGCACGTGTTTATATGACGTACAACATCACGACCGGACCGACCTACATTGGTGTATATTGTCACCTTTACTGGAGATTGAGAAACTATCATATAAATTATAATCCTGTCAAAGTTTCAGAGGAAAAAAATGTTGACATTTACAAAAGTTTCTTAAGACACCAAGTAATGTAAACCATACGAGGTATAAATTCGTGGAAAGAGCCTAAAATACGTTACACGAAAAGCTTATTTGGCAGTTTTCTGGGCCCACATGCCAACTAAATGACATCAAAACATATCACACACGCGCTCGGACCTGCAATAAACCCGTTGAAGTGCTTTTACATAGAGACAAATATTTATAAATTTATGCGGTTTGTATGGACCAAGCATCAAACTGGCCAGGAAGAATAATTTGCGACGGCAAACTATCGGACAGACTTATTTTTCAGATGGGGAGACCACACCCATTTCTCCAAATATGTATAGCCTTGCTGTAAATACGCCCCTTTGAGAAAGAGAGCCCATAGTGGCCTACACATCATGCTAGCTGTTTATGCAAAAACAGGAAGATTTCCCAGATATATAGACTTCTTCTAACATGTATATGGCGGCCATGGGCCTCATCAGTATGCCGTGTGGAACTATGATATTAAGTAAATCTCTTGGTCGTGTTATTTTGAGGAGGTGGCCTTTAGGAATAGCTATAATAGCTGTAAAACTCATTTATTAAATGTTCCTTAACTATAATTTTGTGTAGCGATAATTATATAGGCTATAAAACATTCATCATATAATTATGTCAAAACGAGAGAATATAATTTAGCAAGTGTTCATTACTCGTTATATACTTAAATACTTAGGAAGTTAGTTGTATACTAAGGAAACAATGTTGTAAAATTACAATCCATAAAGCAGAACATATTAATAAAATATCCTAAACTTCATCGTCGTTTTATTTCATTGCTGCTCCATTATCGTCGTATTATATTGCTATTTGTATTGCATATTCATTAGACTTTAATCCGATAATCTCTCACCCAATCATCGGAGCCTTCCCGGACAAAATCACATTTCCTTATATATATTATATATATATATATATATATATATATAATATATATTATATATATAATATATATATATATATATATATATATATATATATATATATATATATATATATATATATATACTCATTTGCAAGAACGTTGGCCGCAGATAGATAGATAGATAGATACTCGAAGTCTAATTAGAATTGCATATGATTACATTTGCATGGGATTTCAATCATATTACACCACATATGCAATTCTAATTAGATTTCGAGTATCTGTCTATATATCTATCTGCGGAATAGTATCTATCTATATATCTATCTGCTATTAATTTTGGTTAAATCAACAAAACAAAGTAATCTCATGCAATTAAATAATTATTTCATGTGACCATCTAAATGCCCAATGTTGAGAGATGCATTTCAGTGGAACACTAAAAAATTCAAAATATTTAATTATTCATTAAACCGTTATCTGCTTAAATTAACATTCACTCTATTTAACATTTAGTAAAATGTAAAATGCTGTGTTACAAAAAGGGATGGTTGTAGGTACAACTCCATACATGACGGACAAAAATTCACCAACAAGTACATTCATATTAGCACAAATTATTAGGTATAGCTATACCTTGTCACAAAAATTCGCCTTTCAGGGTGTCAACAATTTCTTCAAATGTTGGGCGGAGATCTGGGGAGGCTTTCCAACATTGAAGCATCAGTTCATATCTAGATGCACAGTGAATAAATACTGATTTATGTCCTGAAGTTACTCGATAAAATTTAGATACCTTACAATCTGGTCTGCCTTCAGTTAAGCGCACAGATACCGTTCGGGTATGTTAAATGATCACAAATTCCACCTACGTTTCATCTGACGTGTCTTCAGGTTTTAGTAAGCGATATCCTTCATTTATTTGTCTAACAAGATCCGTCACTTCAAATTCCAAATATGGAACGCATCCTAAAATATATGAACAAGAAACCGTAGTTGTACAGTAAATGCATGATTCAGTGTACAGTTTTACTTCTCGGAAATTGGAGCCTTTGGAGCCCTTTCCTTAAGGAAAAATATTTATTCATCGTTTTAGTTATCGACACTACAATAACTATCTCTATTACAACATACATCGGTCATTAAGTTTATTTTCATTACGACATCGGTCAACGTATTGATTAGTCGAAACATTATACCAGCGCAAACATTGTCGAGTAAGTGTTAAACCATCAATCTGGGTGACTTAGCAAGCTTTTGTGATAGATGATCAACCATCAGACTGAATTATTTCGGAGCCGTTATCACACAGGGATTCTATATAATGGTTTATTAGATAGCCTATAATGAACGTATATGTAATCATTCAACAACATAGCTATGCTAACCTTTACTTTCAATTTCCCACATTACAACCGCAAATGACCACCTTCAAGAAAATTTATGAGCCCATGTTTCAACAACAAAATTTGTAAATAATGAAAACAGAGTGGGATGCAGTATGCAGTAGAAACAATAAAGAATGTCTGCATGTATAAACAAACAAATGATCTATTATCAATATTGTATTCGTCGAATTTGCTTACACATCGCTTTTAGTTGTGTACAGTCCATCAGTTAAAGATTCTATAGCCAACCACCTAGCTGGTAAATTTCTCTAAAAATAGGAGATAGAAAAACGTTACATTTTATTAAAAACGAGCTGCAGGAAAACTTAAATACTTAAATAAACAACTTAAATAATTAAATAAATAAAATTAAAACCAGAAATTTAAATTAAAAGGCTTGTTCAGGGTTGCCAGATTACTGAATAAATTAGCCAAATATTATTACCATAATCGCTGTTTTCTTTGTTTCAAAGAAATCAAAGGGTCAACTACAACAATGTTTGGCATCTTTTTTCTGTAATCTGGCATGCAACCCTGCATGGCTTGTGTGCATCTAGATCCATATAGTATCTAGGTTACAACCAATTTGTTTTATAATATAACATTTATAGTGCGCGCGTGCTGATTGGTCGAGAAGCGTGTTTTCACAACTGAATAGAAACAAGGGACTTTTCAAGCGAAGTAATGTAATGGGAAATTGTAATTGAATCGAATTATACTTTTACTTTTAAAAAAAAGGATGACTAGAATAATATAAAAGTGGGATAGGCAACTGGAGGCGGAATTAGCTATTATACATTACTATCTATCCCTGCCAGCGGAGTTTTTTCTATGATAACTTTAGGGTTTTCTTTGAGACAAACACTAAGATAGCTTTTGGTTTAATATTTTCATCGTGTGAAAAGGTTTCAAAAAGAATAAAAAATAGAAGTAGCCCGAATTGAAAGAATCGAATGTTTTACACGCAAAATGACGCGTTCATGCACAACGACTGCACTACAGGATCATTGCTAAAAACATATAACATCTTCAATGAAAAAATACAGATGTATAACAAAGTGCAGAGCTCTCAAAGGAAGGTGATTCCAACATATTTTTTGATCTGCTCTTTGTGATCGGAAGGGCTAATTTTCGTCACATGCACTGATGCACACATGCAAGACAAGAACCAAATGGAAATCAAATGGAAAAGTTTTACTGTTTCATGCTATTGCGCTATATAAAATTTTAAGAGAATATTGTAGAAGCTATTTATAATGCGATACTTTGATAGGTATACAGCTTAGATACTGTAGTATATAATTATATATTTTATTGTATACTGATATCGATATGCATGAATCATTTTTAGGGTATTTTTACCGAAGTAATTTTTCTGTTCGGATCCCGCTCATGAACAGTCTCAGGAACACCAAAGTTTGAGATTTTTGGCGTAAAATCTTCAGTTAAAAGAACAGTTCTTGCTGCTAGATCGCGATGAATGACCTTTAAAAATATGGATTAAAGATAATATTTAAAGTACGTTGAAGTGTCAGCCGTCAGGGTACTCAGGCTACAGCCAATTCAATGAAAATTGCCCTTTCAAAACGTAAAATCTGAAAATATAGAAATTAGAAATGTGGCTATGTGTATAAGAATACCAAAAAAAAACAAAGAGATGACTCACAAAAGAAAATCTATTTTGCTATTAAGGCAGTTATTTGATTCGAATAGGGGATAGGAGCGTGATCATCCATTTGACGCTCAAGGTCAGTTTAATGTGAAAGTCAAGTCTGTTCTGCGCATCGGTTCTGCTCATAACAATGTCAGGGCCCTAATTTCTTACCGAAAAAATGCCTAAATTTGACATGCTCTGAATTTCTCTAAACCTACTAGTTCATATTCATAAAAGATGAAGTGAACCGAAATTGTGTTATATATTCGGACAGCTAGTAGCGCAACAACGTATTTTAAGGGAAAAGAAATTCCTAATGTGAGCAAACGTTTGCTTACACATACGGACTTGACTTCCACTTTAAAGTATACATTTTCGAAGGAATTTCGAACTGTCTTTTACCCCAGCGTCTGTAAGATGTGCCATTCCTTTTGCAATTTCATTAGCCAAACATATCGTTTTTTTCTGCATGAGCATCTGGTTGTTTTTGTCGCTATCTCGCAGATTGCTCTCGAGGGTACCGCGTGAGCAAGACTCAAGAACTAAGAGTAAAGGACCTACAAAAGGGAAATGAATCAAAGATATTATATTCAACTATGCACGTGCATGGTCGTATACCTAAAATAAAAAAATATCGAAAAGAAGAGTAAAAATTGAAAAAAGTATATAATAAAATTATGTCATAATCGCTCGAGTTTGACGAAGTTAAAGAAAACCCGATCTTTTTGTACAAACCTCGCTCTTCGAGCTCGGTCTGTACAAAAAGACCTCGGTCCGATATTTCTCGGTAAAGACCTCGCGCTCGGTTAATAAAAAGTTATTATTGAACCACAGTTAATAGTATATATACATGGCTTGGAGGCTAAATAAAAGTACAATACAACTCATTAACTATGTTATTGCCTAGGTTTTTGCAAAAAAATTTCCTTTCTCGTCACGTGTCTATTGTATTTTAGCCAAACGTACCAATGGCATTCGTCTTGCTATGAAGCTCCTCAACCTTGAAAATATATTTAATTATAAGATTGCTATTGGTTCATCTGTTACACATAGTTAATGAGTTGTATTGTAGTTTTTTTGTGGTCTCCAAACCATCTATATTTTATTAACTGTGATTGAACCCACCATCTTCACTCGTACTGGCTCCAATTAAGTTAACAATATTTTCATGGCAGTCTACCGAAGAGATTGTCCGTAGTTCTTTCTTTAAATCAACGCGATCATCTTCTGTAGCACTTTCTAAAATATAGAAAAAGGTTTGATTTAGATTTGGTTTGAAATGTTGAACCAATGTACTGTCTACGTAGTCGCATGATATAATTCGATCTTTCATACATGCACTTCAAGATCTGCATGGGACGATTGTACGATAGCGCTATCCACCGAATAGTAATTTTTCGACCGTTTTAGCCGGTCTTTCATTCCTGAAAAGCAATAAAATTACAGATTTAGAACTAACAGTTCAAAAGAGAAAGCGAAAGAGAACCCACACAATAAGAACACCATGTGCACGCTTAATCCAGGTAATACCGAACAACAGCAATTTCAGAGTGAAAATATCACTATCCAGTGGATAGCGCTATCCAGCTTTCATACAACTCGTCCCTGGTGGTCACCCCTGGTGGTCACTATTGGTAGTATATAGTTGGTCCGTTTTAATTCCCTACCGTTCAAGATTTTTATACAACATTCCATTCTATTCTCTTCAGGGGGAGTTGAAAACATTCCTCGCACAACTTTAGTTCCAAAATGTTCTGAAATTATAGTCTCATCAGAAATTTCAATTGATGTGCTTGGAAGTTCTTTCCATGTTGAGCTCGTTGGAGCACACAAAAATGCGTTGTTTACATATGTGCTTTTATTTCGTCTTTGCTTTCGACTTTCCATCATTTCAATGGAGGCCTAAACGAAAGTATCTGATACGTTAAACGCGTTTAGCAATGGAGTATTCTAGTTTGTTATACTTTTGAGAGGTTTAACCAATAAGTATTGGTAACAAGTAAGTTATTGCCAGATTTACTTACTTTTTGAGCGGATAATCGTGAGGCTCCATCTTCTTTTAAATTCCAGGTGCGATTCTGTCGTGGATAAGCACGCTTTGCCAGAAAGATAGCCAATACCATAAATAAAAGACCAGCCAGCACAATGACAGGAACGAGAATGTGCCATGGTAAAGCATCTAAAATAAATGAATCAGATATATAAATCAATATGCATGTACTAAACGTACTGCAGTGTTGTTGATGGTTAGCATCTATGAGAATCAAGAAATCCTTCAGCCTAGAGAAATGGCATTTAAAGCCTTAACAGGTGCAAGATCAAAGTTTAGTTTGGTAAACGTTTTCCCACCCTTTAAGCGATGTCCTTAACTTTCATTGTTGTACTAATTTCATCGGATTGACACGACAGGCTTTCTTTTCGATAGACGCTGTCGTAAATATTAAGCTTCCGAAAACAATAGATCCTGCCCTATTATCTCATGACTTAAGTCGAAAGACAATGTACGTTGTCTTGCCAGACTTTTGGCCAAACGCCAGATAGGTCTTTATTGGTAAATTCGGATGGTACAAATATTTATTTCGTCTTACCGACGGTAGGAAAATGTTGTTCCAAGCTACCAGTATGCATGAACAAGAAAAAAAAGAAAAAGTAATAAGTCATTTCATATTAGTTACTGTACCTTCAGCTTCATCCGTTTTAATCTCCGATCTCTTGCTCTCTCTGCCCATCCCGTATGCATTCTCAGCAATTATTTTTACGACATAGAACGTGTCTCTTTTAAGGTTTTCCAGTCGAATGTTAGTTAAGTCACCATAGACGGTCTTATTCGACCAACTTACTGCACCATACGTTGAATAGGCGATGTGATATCGCTCAATTGAAAACATTTCATAAAGTTCAGGAGGATCCCAGGAGATATGTACGCTAGTCTGCCTTACATCGGAATACGTGACGTTTGCTGGCGGAGGAGGGGGGACTGAAATTTTCAGAAAGTATATTCATTTTTAAGAGCTGTTAGTATAAGTTTCAGCACTTTTCACTTGGACGACCACCATGCACCCTAACCCAAAACCTGATTAACACAGCAGTTTTGTTTACGATTAATTTTTCATATCTTTGGATAATTTTTTGTCATCTCAATTTAATAGATTTAGAGAATTTTGGGTCGCAGCATGCAAAGTATTTAGAGCACAGAGGTACCCTAGAATCTCGAACATGAAGATAATCTAAACGAGCAGACATTGTTAGGATGCTATAAATAGTTTAGGAGTAGAAATACTGTACTAGCAATGACGTTTTTTAATAAGAAAAAACAAATTCTGTTACCTCTGAGTTTTAACACTTCTGGGACAACCTGAATGTTTCCAATGCGGCCTGTTTTTAATTGTTTGTTAATTTTTCGTCCGAGATTAACAGCAACAACATCATTTGTTATTTTTGAAGGTTTGAAAACTTTCATAACGACTCGAAATATAACCTTTACACTTCCTTTACTAAATAATAAGGAGTTAAGAATCTTAATATGGATACGTTAACAACGTCAGCTCAATGTAACACTAAAAACAAACAGGGGATTAAATTAACCTCGAAAAACGAAAGAGAGGATTGTGACTATAATGCATAGTACAGTTCTGTGTTTTAGTCATTTTTCTATAAGCCACAAATAACACAATTGAGAGAATCTGAATATTGTTTTAACCAGTCACGTATTTGATATACTTTTCGTGTCAAAAATGTTATTATTTGATTGCAAGTGATTTTTTTGTTCAGGTTCAAAAGTTTTTATGTCCAGCTTGCATCAATGGCATGTGGTCAACGAGTTAAGTTTCACCAACTATGCACCAATGTTTCATTTCCTCCTTGTAATCTACATCTAGGCACCTTAATTGAATTTCCGTGTACACTCTTTCGGCAAACAATCATCGTGAATCATGAATTATTTATAAATTTCACAATCGGGTTAAGTGGTTCAGGCGATTGCCTCTGATTTTCGAGCTGCTATGATTATCTAATTTACTTTATCATTTCTTCGAAATTCATAATGAAAACCGTTATTGCGGCGTGGATTAGAACAATCAATCTACAACCTCGGAAATTATTGTCTTCACCACTAGACAACGTGATCTTGTGTTGAACGGCTATTATTATTTCATTTACTTAAATTCTTTTCTCGAACGTCATAATGAAAAACATTGATTGGATTCAAACCATCGACTTACCCCTTAGGTGATCATTATCCTTACCACTACAACACGAGATGTTGTGTTGAACGACTACAGTTATTTCAATTATTTTATTCTTTTCTCAAACGTCATAATGACTTGAAATTTGCAATATATTTTAAAAAATGTTACGCGGAATGTTCTGGATTCAAAATCGGATTACAGTAGATAACAGTTAAATATAAAAAAAACAACATATTAGTACTTACACGAAACCCAATATTTCCACGTCTTTGAAGGCTGGGGTGGTATTGAAGAAGTGGAAGAGCTAGAAAAAAAAGGTGTACGATTAGTCGTGTAGCCGGAGACATGAAACGAAAGCTTTGTTATTTAAAAATAGGTTTTCTTCTGCAAGGATTGACCGTACATCGCCATTTGTCGGTGGCATATTAAGCCTTGTATTCATGATCGTAATTCATCTGACGATGTTAGTTCTCCTGGTATGCGGTGTGTAACATGGTTTGTCTTTCAGAAAAATTCTCTAACTAAGTGCTACACACAAAGTTGCCAAATTGCCTGCGACATTTTGTTGAATATAGTCAGACAATTGCTCTTCGAACTGAGCTACTAGTCAAAGACAGTTCGAATATGTGAAATTTGGAACTCAATCTAGTCCCTTACATATCTGTCAGCCAACCTATCTATCTATCAACGAAGACAAAGAATTACAGGGAAAGTCTTTACCGCCCTCCTTGCTAAGCATGAACCATGCATTTCCCAATTTGACATTAACCCTCCCCCCCCCCCAGCTCACAAATTTTCCGAAGGAACGCAAGCTGATTTTAAATATACAGATAATTCTAAGAAAATACCACGGAATTTTAAGGAATTCAGGCAACTTTTCTGCAATTTTTTTAGCAGTGAAGTAGCTGTGCAGTCTTCGAGGTGGCTACCAATGAACCTCTTATTTCACTATATTTCGCACCATATTTATATACTAAATTCGTCTATAATCATTCCGCTCTGAATTAAAAATATTACAGACTAAAAAATAGTATATTCCAAACTTTTCACTGTTTACCTCAACGTATACGTCTTTTTCCAACTCTTTATAAGCAAACGAAGACTTATTTTTTAACTCTTCGTTGAAGGTTTTATTAGAAAGCTGAATTTCAACATCAACACCAACGATCACTAAAAGTTAATATGCATGACCATGTTATACTCTAGTAATTAAAAGTGAGTCCGAAACTGAATATCAAATAGTATGGCGTCGTTTTAGTTAAGTTTTTAGTCGAAATACTGGTACGGGCGTATTAGTAAGACTCGCTCACTTATTTTTCTTAACCAGTTTAAAACAGAGCGGGTTCTTGGCCGTGGTTTACGCCCGGTACCTTACCATAAATGTCAGTCACCATAAGTCAAACTTCCACACTTTGCTTGATGATCAATAGCTGGTTAATTCAAATTAATTACATGACCTGAATGAAAGTGAACTATTCACCTGGGTTTATTCTGACTTTTGTAGTGTATGACTGCCAACCAAGTCTGTTCGATGAATTACATAAATAGACTCCACTGTCCTCTATCTTTGCCCAATGGATGCTGTAATTACCACCAAACTTGCTCGATGTTCTCTCAATTTCTGTGAACACCCCGTTTTGCTCTTTACTGCGCTTCCACGATATTATCGGCTCAGGGTTTCCGATTACGGTGCAAACAAGAGTCAAGTTCGTTTCAACCAACTGTGTAATATTTTCTGGAGATCTTGCGATAATTTGAGGCTGACCTGTAGGTTTGTTTTATTAAAATTTAGCTTGATGCTTGATGATTTGGAAAACCCGGAGGGGGGGTGGGGTCAATTCCCGCAAAAAATTCCTTCAAGGAGAAATTGTGTGAAAAATATCCTGCAAGAGGTCTAGTGTGAAATGAATTCTTGCAAGCGCAGTGTGCATGACGACATGTTTGCTACATTTTACCACTGGAATTTTAGTTCCAGTGTATATATGTATGATGCCCAAAAATAGCGTGCACTGCTCAGTGTATAATAATATTAAAAGCCATATCGGTGCAATCCATATCAATAGTTAGGTCTTATTGCAGCAAGCGGGGGGTGTCAATCTCAAAAAAAAGATGGTGCAAAGCTTGATTGCTGGGGAAAAAATCCAGCGGGCATTTTTCATGCTCCCCTCCGGGTTTTCCTAATGGTCCGCCCCTTATTATTTTCTATAGTCCTCAGGCAAACAGGGAGGAATTTTATTTTACACCAATCAGGAAAGTTGTTTATATAATAACTATAGTGAAACGCCATTTTCGCGCGAGACTTTCAAATTACCCACTCTCGAAGAGTGAATGGAGTACAAAGTGCCGCTGGGCCCGCTCCAAAATACAAAATTTAGTTATTGTTATTTGTTATTCCTTACAGTTTACACATGTATGGTACAGCATTAGGTGTCCAGTTAAAACGGCCCCACTATCTTCAGCGATTTAATAAAGGAAATCCAAATAACATTACAAAATATGGCTGAAATCATGAGCAAGAGCCACAGGTAAATGAACTTATGGACTAATGGTATAATTATAGAATACAAGGCCAATAGGGTAATATGTTATATAAAAGATCTTTTAGAGGATCAGTTTTAGTGTGTAGAACTGCCTTGTTCTTTAAAAGTTGTGTTTATTCCTACCCTGAGAGTCTAATTTATGCACTAACATAAAACAAGGCAGTTCTATATAGCATTCAAATAGGAGTTTGATTGGCCAGGTGTTCTAGAAGTGGTCTGAATTGTGATTTTCATATTAACTCCCATAATCAGTTTGTCTTAAAAAGTTGATTCAAATTACTTTAAATAAAAAAACATACAGACCCCTATTCAGGTCATAGACTTATTAATTAATAATGCAATTATAATACATATTATGTAAACATGGGATATCATTACAAAAACAGGGCTACATTGGGGGTTGCATATTGATTTTTTTGTCTTATGCCTGACCGGTTTCTATTGAATGCAATTGTTCCTACAGTATGTATGTAAACATGGATATATATTAATATACACCTAACTTCCAATTAAGTGGTCTGATTAAGGTTCAGCCTTTTAAACGGTGGAAAACCTGTTTGGTGCCTATTTTTCCTATTTTCTATACCAGCGAAGAATTACTTCTCACCAGACTGAATCTAATGGTATTGGTAATTTATTACTGTTACTATATGACCTCTATAGCATACAATGTTAGCTGGGGCATGGCTAGGATGAAATTTTGGGGAGCCAGTATGAGTAAGGAGCGTCAGGCTTCCTGCCTGAGAAAATTAATTTCATAACATGCTGCTAATTTTCTACCCTGATTTCAACATTTTCAAAATATGGTTTCTCAATGATTAGGAGCTATAGGCCTTGCACTTAGCTTTGCCCATCATTTGACTTTCTCAAAAACATACTGACCTAGGCAAAATACACAATTACCTTCACATATCTTTCCATCCCCAAAGAAGCCTTCAAAACAATCACAAATGTATGTTCCAACAACATTAATACAGTGAGCATATTCATGGCAGAAGTTGGTTTCTGTGTTTTTGCACTCATCAAAATCTAAATGAAACACAAATATTTATATTGAATAAATATCACTTATGTGTGCAGGCCTAAACGATTTTGGAGGGGGGAAGGAATGATTTCAGAAAAAACTGAAGCCCCCCCCATGCTCCCCTGTAGTGTACCATCTTGTAAACCTATGCATTCAAGATTTTCCAATATATATTGTTTTGGTGCATGACTCCAAGTTGATAAAACAAAGCAAAATTTTCCCAGCCTGTATTGAAAGAACAAGCTCAGCTAATGACATTTCTTGGAAAATTTCCATGTTCATACATACCCTATCATATGTTACTATTTACTAAGTACACTATTTTTAAGATGTTCTAATTCTCTCACATTGATCGACTCAAATAATTTACGACTAAAACAAAAAACAATTCTGAAATGAAGAAATCAACTTCTAAGTTTTATACCAGCTAAGAGGAGCTTAGCAGGTATTCTGTAGGTATCAATGGCTTCCGTAAAAAAGAGTAAAAAAGGCAGCCAACCTTTCACAGAAGTAAAAGCCATGTCAAGTTGATAACCAGCAAGATATTCCTCTTTATTCAATTCCTCAACGATTACATCAGGTGGAAGGCTGAACTGACTGTCCAAGGAGATGATCATTTCCGCAACAATACTGCCAGCTCTAATGAAGAATAAATTGTATTATAGACGTTCTCCTAAAACGCTCATCATCATTGTGGTTGCTTGTTCGAAATGAACTGTGCCGAAAGATTGATCGTGGAACATCCGTCATTTTCTTTGCCATACTTGGTTACAACGTTCAAACGCGAAGTGAGATTGTTTTTACGGAATTGAATTTCGGCGTTTTTCGTATTCCTGTTTGCCCACATTTTAAAAGTGTATAAATAGCTGCATGCATTATTAGACACTAAAAGGCCACTAAAATGCCTACTCCACTGTAATTAATTTTTACTGACCTGAATTCTGTAATGCTTGCGCCAATGTACCACAACTTAATGCGAGTTGACTTTCTATAAACGCCATTAATCTAGTAAAATGTAATCTGTTTAGTACATGTATAGTAGTATGTAGAATTGCCGGCAATCTTGGTGAATTTATTTCGTATACAATTCCATGCAAGGAGACCCGGATTGAACGCAAACGCAGAACTGTATACGTCAACCGAGAACCACGTCTGTCGGACGACGGAAGAAACGACGGTTGACGAATATAATTATCTAGTTTTAGTCCTGATAAAACGTCCCACAAATTTGAAATGGTAATAATTTTAAAATAATGAAAATTAATGATATTGTGTCGATCCTTACCGAATCTTCAAGTTTCGATTTCAGGCTTTTGTATTGACTTGAGTTTGGATCTTTTAATTTGTTGGAAAATTCTGCGTTCATTAATTTGATTGTTAGTTTGAAGCGTTTCTGATTGGTATCTAAAAGAACAAAATAAAATTTATAGAACAAAGCAACAACTACTGTGTATCATTCAATATTAACGTGACACTACCTAAAGCAACGAGGCTGTGTTGGCTGTATTTTCTAACTAATTTTGCAACCAAACTTTCCAATTTTACTCACTTAGGATGCACTTACTGGCTGTGCATGTGTATCTCACTAATCTCAGTTCATATAGTTTTCCAGGGGCCGGTTGTATCAAGCCTGTTTAGCTTAAACGGTGGATAAGTTCAAAATCGAAAGCGAGTCTATCGTTTTATTCAACAAACAAACTAAATGCTTTCAACCTTAATACAAAGATACTGTTTACAACTACATATTCAGTGCATAATATTCAAGTTGACTCATTCGAGAGAGATGTAAAAGTGTTATTTAATTTTGACTTATCCACCGTTTAAGCTAAACGGGCTTGATACAACCGGCCCCAGCATTATAATCGACACGTTTATATTTAGAGTATGCCAAGAATATATACGGGTTGAAAACACTTACTTTGCTTT